ATGAGAAAAATTTAGTGACTGCCAGTAACAACAGTTGTAAAAACTTCCCTGCCAGCAACTATTCCCCTATCGGTAAATTTCTCCTTCTCTCTCTCTGTCTGCTGATATTCCCAGTTCTGTTCCACAGAAGCCAAAATGTCATTGCTGTATTTCTCAATTATGGTCATTATCATAATTTGCATTATATTATGTGCAGCAGGGGAGACATAGAGAGGCCTCCTAGCTGACCTTGTGAAGAACCATCATTATGTCAAATTCTGACACTAGCCTTCGAGCTGATGGTTATAGACCTCCCTAGCTCAACATGTGGAAAATAAAAATCTTTAATAGATATAGCTTTGGGGCCACTGGCATTTAGATCCCCAAACCCATCCTCTGTCGATTTACAAACAGGCATAATAGGAACCCTCTCACAAATTCAGGAAAGACATGGAAGGGCAAATCAGGATTTCACCCACTCTGTACCCACTCCATATGCTTATCTCAAAACTGAAATAGATTCAACCTTGTGAGTACAGTTTGTATTCCAATAGACTCTCACCATGCAGTTGAGAACCCTACAAAAGGCAAAGTTTTTAACTGGTTTAATTAACACAAGAAGTATTTCAATAGGTTAACATTTTCATCTTATGCAACTGCATTGGTTGTGGCGTTTGCACAGGGCCCCCGGTTGTTCCATGGACTATTGACCCTGCACCACCAAGGTTTGTCTCTTCCACTGCCACCAATCAGGTTTCCCCGGTAATATATTCAGACTCAGTCAGTTTGTAATGCATTAACAAAGATTCCAGTTTATTGTGAATGCAAACAAGTTTTAAATACTTTGAAACACTGTAATCCGATTCACTCTCTCTGTCTCCCCTCTGTCTCTAACTCACTCTGACTCCTATGCCTCTCACCCACAAGAAACCAACCGAACTAACTGCCAAAACCCCTGTGTTGAGCCTTAAGCACAGTTAGGCTCTGCCCCTGGGCTTTCTTACTGGTCATATTATTAACCTTTTCTCTCTCTCCCCCAGTATGACATCTCCATAATGAGTGGGCAAATGCCACATTGGTCATTTTAATAATTCCTTCTATTTCTGAGGTCCAGGCTGTGAGTGTCAAAAGGCACCATTCATTCACAAGAGGGAGTATCAGCAGGCTTGGGTGAACCCCAGAGTTTGCAAAAGTACATGAAATCATGGGGAGGGGGGGGTCATTAAGTGACAGGGTTATCCCCAAGCACAGTCCAATGAGAACTGAGGATACTCTGTGACTGGAGAATGCTGAATGGTTCTTGACAAGGGAGCCTGGGAGGCAGGGAGAGAGGAAATGGTGTGAACATCAGCATTCCATGCTACAACATCATGTGCATGTCCAGCTTGTACATACTGAACGGTTTTATGTTGTTTTAGATAGTCATATGAGGAAGTCTGTAACCTGATAACATGGTAGGGATCTAAAAGTCTTTAGCCTTAGCCTTCCCAAACTGGAATGTGACACCCTAATCTTAAATTTGATTGGAAGTTGGGAGTAAATCCCATAGTTTTCAATAGATCTTTATGCTTAGTTAGGACTGCGGCCTTGGAGTAGTCCCCAGACTTTTGTCTTGAGTCTTCACTTAATGAATAGTTACTGTCAGATTCTATATTTTATAAATTGAACTTATTCCCATGCCAGCTCTTTAATTCTCCACAAAATAATGGTTTTTCTTAGATTTATAACATTCCTAAGCAGAACTTATCGAACCACCCTATGATTGTCATTTACAATAATTAAGAAAAGCAGGTGCCAAATAGTGATTGGTGAGTTGGGACTGGGAATGTTTTTTCTTTCTTTCTTTCCAGGAACGTTAGGTTGAGCAGCATTGATTGAATATGCACAGCCTATCTTATTTCTTATTTCTCAGATGAGACGAAGAATTCTTATTATATGAATCATAATTATATTCAGCTATAGCATGCAGTGCTTCCACATCCCCCATAACAAGAATACCTAATTGAGCAAGGTACACTGCTAGCATATCACAGGAATATCTTGTGTACAAGACACTGATTGGATCACATTCAGGGTTTTCTCTGTTTTTAATATTATTCAAGTAACTCATTGTTCTATATAGAAATGAGTAACAAGGAATGGTTTGTTAGTGAGTAGAAGCCAAGGTCAACCCTGCCATACGATAGGGAGGCACAACCTGCTTCAGCTGGCAACATGGCAGGGCGGGGGGAGATAAAGGCAATAATTGAGGTCTGGTTGGTGCAGAGAGGCTTATTAACATTCGAGCTTCACAATGTTTTGAAGCTGACCATGGTATCAGTTCTTCCTACCTTGTCATGGGAAGGAAAAAGGTATCACCTAAATATGCTTCCAAATTACTTCCAAACTATTTCTAGGTGGTCTTTGGGTCCCACCTGTACCATACTTTCAGTTATGGATTCCTCCAAAGAATCCTGGGAAACATAGTTTGCTGAGGGTGACAAGTCTTGTTAGGAGACATTTATTCCCCTTACAGATCAACAATTCTCAGAGTGGTTTAACAGTCAATCCCCCTTCCGAGAGGACCCTGGGAATGGCAGCTCTGTGAGGGCAATAGTAGTCTCATAACAATTCTCAGCACCCTTAACAAACTACAGTTCCCAGATTCTTTGGGGGAAGCCAAGGCTTTAAATGCATGGGGCAGATGGGGCTAAGTCACATACTGACAAATGTAAGTTGAGTACTTAAAGTTAATTGGAGGTCCTGCACAACAAACCTGCTCCCGCCCTGCAATAATTATTTCCTATAAGGAAAGTGATGTGAAGATGCACTGGAAAGGGTTAGATAATGGTTAAGTGAAGCAATGTGTTCTTACATCCCAGTAAAAAAATGAAGATGAACACTCAACAAATAGCCATTGACCAACCTCCCCACCAACGTTTGCAAGCAAATAAGGAGGAATGCTCAATGAGCAGGCCATCTGGAAGTGAATTAAGTACATGCTACTTTGCAGGGGGCAGAGGGGAGAAGAAGGAAGCGAGCATTGAGCGTTGTAATGGATAAAGTGAGCTTCATTAACGTGTAACCCCAAAATCTTGGATCCGCTCCAAACTGATACCAAAGTTTTGTGCTCCTTTTATGCCATTTTGTGCTGCACACCCCACATTTTGTGCCACTTTGCAGCACAAAATGAGTGCAGAATGTTGGCATTGGTTTGGAGGGGGAATCCAATATTTTGGGGTTACACATTAATGAAGCTGGTAAAGTGTTCCATTTGATTCAGAGGAGCCGAAGGTCAAATCCCTGAATTTATGGGATTACCTTGTACCAAGCTGTATCAATCTAACCCAGTTTGCCCCAACCTCCTGCCCTCCAGATAGTTTTGACTTCAACACACATCTGCACCAGCCAGAATGGCCAGTGGTTAGACATGATGGGATTTGTAGACCAAAACAATCAGACCAGATTGGGGAAGGTGGATATAACACATCTTCCAGTGGTGTTATGCAGCCATAGTGGCAAAAATGCATGACACATTATGCTGTGTTCATTGGAGGAAGTGCAGGATACAAATGTAATAATAATAATAATAATAATAATAATAATAATAATAATAATATATAGACACACACACGTATCTATATATGTCTGTAATCAAGACACAGAAGTTGTAGGGAATGGAGGATATACTTTTTCTATGCAAAGATGATCAGTGTATTGACATGTTCCTACTATGGAATTTTTCCACGTTTATAAAAACACTCATGTATTTCCACCTCTCTGCAAACCCACATTCTTATGACTAATGCTGCCTATCACTGGCTAACATTTGCTCTTATGCAACTGCATATCACAATCTAGAGACAGATGTGAGTAGTATTATGCTTATTATTGGCTGCCAATCCAACAAAAAACTAAAGACAACCCTCCTGACACCTGTCAGCAGGAGGACCCTGAATATTGTTTTGCAGTGTTGAATTTCAGAAAAGCATTAGAGTGACACAGGTCAAAAGCAACAAGATCAAGTAAACAATGGGAAGATGCTTACCACAGATATATCAAGGGACCTGGGTTCCACTGGCAAATATCATTCAGGGGACATACACATTCTTTGCTATTTACAGCTTGGGAGTTGCAGAGTGGGAGAAAACTAATTAGGATTCATTTTGTGCTATTTGCAGAAAGACAACTTACATGTAGAACAGGTTTAGACATCTCCATCCACTAATGCACATGAAGATTCGCACTGCAGGGGCTGTCTAGGAACTTTGGTTCCTTTTCATATACCAGATTTTTCCTTAATTTATATGTAAAGGCCTACTCAGAAACATTACTCCCTGTATGATTTTCACCAAAACCTCATTCCCCCTGCTAGTTAATATCTAAATAATCCTATTGCATGCATCCATCTACAAAAGATTTTGCAAAAAGTAAAATGGATGGAAAGTGTGCAAACTTTTTAGGGTTGTGGAGTCGAACCTACTGAGGGAATACAGTACCGATGCCATGATACTTGCAAGCGGTAAATCATGCGTGTATGTTGCTGTTGGCCTAGGAAAGACAAATCTGGTTTTTTGTTTTAAAAAAATATACTTGCAAGCGGTAATGTGGATCGTTGTATTTCCTCAGTAGTGACTGCTGCCCACTGGGCCGAAGGCAGGCAGGCCAGCAGCAGGTGAAGCATAGGAATAGAGGAAGCTGCCCTATAGAGTGGTACCTTGGGTTAAGAATTTAATTCGTTCTAGTGGTCTGTTCTTAACCTGAAACTGTTCTTAACCTGAAGCACCACTTTAGCTAATGGGGCCTCCTGTTGCTGCTGCGCCGCCGGAGCACGATTTCTGTTCTCATCCTGAAGCAAAGTTCTTAACCCGAGGCACTATTTCTGGGTTAGCGGAGTCTGTAACCCGAAGCATATGTAACCTGAAGCATATGTAAACTGTATAGACTCAGGCCATTGGTCTACCTAGCTTAATACTTTCTTCACTCAGTAGCAGCAGCTTTCTGGGGGTTCAAGTGAGGACTCATTTTCCAGACCTACTTGGGGACGCCAGCAGGGGTTGAACCTGGGATCTTCTGCTTGCAAAGAAGATGCTCTGCCCTGAGCTGTTGTCCTTCCTCTGAGTCAGACCCATGACAAGTGGGCCCAACTCATTCTTTAGTCCCCATTCTCCTTCCTGTTGCATTCTACAGAGGCAACACTAAAGAGGAAGAAGCAGACAGTCAGTGCCACCCCTTGGACTGGTTATAAGGAAGAGGGCAGGCTGGTGGGGGCTGGTTGATGTCCAATTAAGATTGGTGGGGCACTGTTCCATTCACCCTACTGAAAACTCCCAAGAGCTGTTGGCAATGCTATTGCGTCCAACCCAAGGAATATCTTTCCCTTGTCATTCCTTTTCACTGATGTCTTTCCAACTGAATGTGTAGGTAACAGGAAGGGAAGACATATTTGACAGAGCCATTCGTTGCTCTCCTTCTCAAGCTCCCAACTTGAGAGGCATACGTTCGCTTAATTTTTACAAGCAAAGGAAACTGCTACTGTCTCTTTGGCATACAACACACTTTGCAACTTTGTCAGTTGTTTTTTCTCCATAAAGCTAACTAAATGGCAAGCAAACCTGTCTGATCTTTTCAGTAAACATAACTTCAGACACAGGAACTGTTTTATAGTGTAAATAACAGCTGAGTTAAATTACCACTATAAAAAAATTCTGCTCATGAACTGTGATTTCTACTTTTCTCGGAATATATTTACTTTATGACTTTATTAAAAAACAGGCATTTCTCTCCCTTTTGCTGCTGAATATATCTTTTAAAAATGCACCCTCCACCCAGTAGCTAAATCAAGATAAAAGAGATCCATATTTTTTCTTCTTCTGGAGATGTATTAACCATCATTAGGAATGCAGACAGTAAAAAGGTAATTTGGGACTCTGAGAGCAGGTTGCAAAAATAATTTACAGTTCTGCTCACTGCTGGCATAATGCTAAATCTCATCAAGCCTCTTCATTTGTTCAGTGTGTGTTCAGTTTGGTGGTTAGGATGAGCCCAATCACTGTGTTTTTCTTTTCTTTTGTTGCTGTTTTTAAATAACAAGTTTTCTTCCAGGACTCTAATGTGCCAACAGAGAGATTCGTACTTGGAATCCAATTAGTTATACATACCTTGATGCTAAGCATCAAATACCAAGCGATGCATAAAGTGGGAGGATGACATATACTATGGCATTTGTAAGGCAGATCCATCCCTCTTCCCTTGTTTCCCCTTTGACTGCGCTAATGCAGTGGAGGAGTCTATCCGCATCAACAGCGTTTCCTTTGCCAGGGATGTTGGCTAATGAGAATCCAGGACAAGCAGATTCTAATCCCCACCTCTGTGTTTTCACATCCAGGGAAGGTGCTGTCCAAACTATATGTCTGGTATCAAGAGCCACTTTTGTCAAAGAGGAGAGCTTTTAATAGTGGTCACTTCACAAGAATCAATTGTTCTATTCTGTGCGGGTCAAACCACATCAGGAGTACTGGGTCTGGAGGGCTGGTGCTATCATTAGGCTACTAGGCAGCCACCTAGGGCACAGACCTCAGAGGAAAGGGAGTTATTCTCCCCTTCCTGTTGATCAAATGACCAATCTAATAGCTAGGGAGAGGCAAACTCCATCCCCTTCAGGTGCTTGAATGGTCGGAGAGGTTTGAACCTCTCTACCTGCCCCAATTTGGTATCTACTTTAATTCTGTTTTTCCCCCCTTTTTGCTGCTGTTGCTAAAATCAGTAGGATCATGGGAAGCTAGATAAATGTGCTTCGGGGGCTCGATCTGGCCCCCGGGCCTCGGATCAGTCCACACTGAACTAGAACATGCTCAGAGAAATGCAAGCAGAGTGGTGAGGGATCTGGAAATGGATCATTGAGGGAAAAGTGGCTTGATATGCTTACCCTGAAGAAAATTAAGTGGGTATATGGTAAAAAGGTAAAGGTAAAGGACCCCTGACAGTTAATTCCAGTCCTGAACAACTCTGGGATTGCGGCGCTCATATCGCTTTATTGGCCGAGGGAGCCAGCGTACAGCTTCTGGGTCATGTGGCCAGCATGACTAAGCTGCTTCTGGCGAACGAGAGCAGCGCACGGAAATGCCGTTTACCTTCCCGCCGGAGTGGTACCTATTTATCTACTTGCACTTTGACGTGCTTTTGAACTGCTTGGTTGGCAGGAGCAGGGTCTGAGCAACAGGAGATCACCCCGTTGTGGGGATTCGAACCGCCGACCTTCTGATCGGCAAGCCCTAGGCTCAGTGGTTTACACCACAGTGCCACCCACATCCCCTGGGTATATGGTAGCTGTCTTCAAATATCTGAAGGGCTGTCATGCTGAGAAGATGGCTCAGAGGGTAGAATTGGCATGAATAGGTGGAAAATGCAAGGAAACATATTTCAAATAAACAGTAGGGCTGTGAATGCACAACCTGACCCACCCCATGGCTCTGATCTGTGGCTCCTGGATTAGGCTCCTGTACAGTTTCAGAGGCAAACCTGTCCCACCATGAAGCAAACTGAGTGTGGGTCTAAGGGGTTTTTTAAGCCTTTAAACCCCTATTTTAAAACACAGTCAAGAAGCTTAATAGTTGTTAATTGAGAGAATCCAATCCTGCACAGTTCAGCTTCAGAGGCAGTTTTATTTTTAGTCTTTCCCCTAATGATGCCTCACATGGGAGTCGCCTTTTTCAGAACAGTCATGCACTGGGTTGATGTTTCCATCTACTATGACCCCAAGCCATTCCTTACATGGATGATCTGCAGCAAGCCAGCAAATTGTAAGGTTCAAACTCCTCCTGGGCCTAAGTACATGCAAAATAACATGTGGTCGCTTTTCTGTAATCAAACTGCTGAATTCAAATTGATCTGATTCAATATTAATCTGAATTCAGTCCAGTGCTGTTTTCAAAACAAGAATTTGCCCTTGCTTAAATGATTTGGCAGCAACACATAAACACGAACTGAGTTAGCTGAATATCAATCTCTCCTCATGATTGCCTTTCCTACGTTTAGGGAAATGGTAATTAGAATTTCCTTTGTGTTTCTTCATAGAGGTGAAGTAGAATTAAAACCTATTTATAAATATTTTAGTCTTGTAACCAAGCTCAGAGCAATCAATTTGAGCTGCACTGTAAATATGCCCTCCATTATGTTAAAGGTTGCACATTTCTTAAGAGCATGCAAATATCTTTGCAACAGTCCTTGTTTGGGCTTCCCCCCTTGTTGTTCTCAAGTATAATTTTGCTTCTTTTGAATAGCTACTGTTGTTTCCATTGCACTTTCATTTTGTTATTTGCATGGATAGTCTGCATGTCTTTTTTTTTTTTTTTTTGGTCTTGTGGCTGAATCTGACATTCGAGCCTCAGAAGGTGTTTACATGGATATGCAACTTATATAATCATGGTCTTCAGAATAGAATATCAGCTCTCACTTTTAAACAGTTAATTAAAGTTGCTGGTGGGTGGGGCTGCAGCTTCGGATTCCCAACCAACTCGGACCTCGGTAAGGCAGACAGAGAACAACCTGGTGAGTTAAGGATGGAGCCTGCAGAAAGTCTGGTTGGTTAGAGCTGGAGGCAGGACAGTCTGGTGTTTCAGGGGTGGGATAAGAGCAGGTTAGGAATGGAACTTCAATTTGGCAGAAACAGGCAGGTCATTTGTTACAGAACACGGGGGAAATTTGAGTTCACTGACTTCTTAGACCAGGAAGAACATAGTGGTCAGAACAGAAAAGACCAGCAGGTCGGCAGCTTAAAAATAGTGGCTCATTAGGAACCCTTCTAGAATTGACTTGAGAAGGGAGGTATATAATTTTATGACACTCATGGAGAAAGACTCGTCTGGAAATAATATATCATCCATGTATTTTGTGAATGGTCCCCTGGACTATGTTAGAGGGAACATGCTTGGGAAACATGCCTTGCTCTTTAATCCAACACATATTTTTTTTTAGCACCCAATATTGGGACTTGTACCCTATGGAGAAATATGTGTGCTCTCGTTGCAGAGACACATCTTCTCAACAAAGTCAAATGCTCAACATCATTTTCTCTAGCTTTCAACAACTGCATCCATGAGTCACGAGTCAGTCCACTCATCATTTTCTTTTGAATCCATGCAGTAAGATGAACTCTGTGGGCTGTGTATTGTTCCTCCACATTGTTGACTGGCAAAGCTAATTTGCCACCTGTATGGTACGTCTTATTTTTCATAGCTTCTATTTGTTCTTACCTGGAGTCAGCATCGTAAACAGTTTGAAAGACTCTATGGCTTGAAATGAAATGGAGAGTCACTAGCCACCAGCTACTCTTCTGTGTTTTATCTTCATTTTGGATTTTTTGAATATATACTTTGCTTTAGAAGTCTTACTAGGAACTCTGGAAGCTGCCTTATACTGAGTTTGATCATTTGTCCATTGAGCTCAGTACTGTCTACACAGACTGGCAGCAGTCTCCAGGGCTTCAGACAGGGACTCTCTCCCGGCCCAACCTAGAGATGCCTGGGATTTTTAAATATACTAGTACTGTTAATGATCCCCCATGGCTCAGATACACAACTCAAATGCAACAGGAAATGTATGTTCAATATTGCACACCCAATTCTATGGAACTCCATCCTAAAGACTTTTCAGCAGTGTCAGGCTTCAGGGAATCAGCTTGGCTTCCTCCTCCCCTTGGCAGTTGATAAGCACAACAAAGGAAAATGAGTTTTCTTTAGAAACTTTAATGATCACAGTGAGAGAACAAAGAACCCACCTCCTAGGAATGACAGTGCTCCTATTTAAGTGCTCCACCCACTTTCTCCCTAGTCACCCACATCACTACTGCATCTTGTAACCTGAGCTCATAGCCATTGTGCTTTCTGTGCTGCCACCTTATCAGCTCTTCTTGACCTTAGGCTGAGTGGATGAATGCTTTCCAGAGACAGTGAATCTGTTAACTCTCTCCTTCTCAGTGCTTCTTCTCCTAGTTGTTTCCCATCCAGTATTTCCCAGCTTCTGCCTTCTGAACTATGTCTCTCTGCAAACCACTGTTCCAAATCTATATTGTCCTCCTGCTCCTGGGAAGATTCAGGATCCTGATCAGGAG